CGTAACAAGAATAATATTTACGTTCACAGAGTTACCACTTACATGATACTAATCTGCTGTTGTGAAACTTAGGTGCTACGTGCTAGGAACGCAAGGAAACTAAATTTGTTTGATCACTGACGCCTACCGAGGATGGCGAATGTTAATTAGCGTGACAAAGTAGCAAACTAATCCCTAAGTTGAGGTAAGTTAGACATACAGCATGATTGTTACGCTCCACACCGAGGATAATTACTATGTTTTGGTCACATGGATCTCGTTAGGCCCCCACGTATGATAACCCCGAGTCATGGTAACCGGTTGTTAGAGACACTGGATTAGTGTCTCAAACAATGGCGCTCATCATCTACTCGTTATTCTTTCCATCCCAGTCTATATCAATTTTCCATCTTCACCTCGAATTTTCTCTCAATATTCCATTTTTTTGCTCTTTTATCCAAACGGGCAGCCAAAAGACATCAACCCAAATCGGTCCATGAAAATGCATGGTTAATGCTTGTAAAAGCTGAAACTGAAACAGTGTTTCGGCCTCTTTCTGTCGTCCAATTGTGGAACTTGAAACACTGTCTTACCCTCACATCATCTGGATATACTGAGACTGGCTGTGCCGTTGTGGTTGACGGGTAGAGACGTGGTTTAGCACTGCCAAATTAGACGTTGAAGATTTAGGACTTGGAGCTATCGACGGCTTACGCCCTTAAACTCGGGATAGAGTCTCTATCTGCACTGATCTCACTTCCGCTACTTTTTTGTTGTCAGTTGCTATCCGCGATGCCCATGAGTAAGCAAACCCTGTTTTACAACTCAGGACATGATCACGTAGTTCTTATCTAAAAGCGTCCGCTGGACACGTCCTGTTTGCATTCCCGGGTTGAGAATATGTTCAGTGAACTACGTGAATGCAAAACCAACTGTAGTGGCTCNGGGGGGGGGGGGGTAAAGCTTGTTATATAGCCAAATCACAGATCGCTTTATTCATCCTAGTGAATGAATTTTCAGCTCGCTGCACACCGTGGCTATGTATCATCGCGTACAGTCGTGGAGAAAAAGTCAAATAGTTCATCGTAAATTCAAGAGGAAGGTGGCGTAAAAGTTTGTAAATGGGTAACAATTACGTAATTTTTTAAAATGTTTTATCTAACGGATGCTTCCTGTTCTAGAAACCTCGAAAGATATGGGATAACGGACAAACGGTAGGCAATGGTACGAGTACGCTCATGACGACCCCTAGTTGCAGAAGTGGATACATATTGTTTGAGTTCTGTGTATTGAGTCAGTGACGTCTGATAGAATATTGTCGCATAAGTTTTTGCATGTTTGTCGGCAATAAAGTTCGGCAGGCGCAAATAAGGAATACCACTTATGCGAGAAATAATTTTAATAGACCACTGTAAGTGATCTTTAACCCTAAGACCAGCAAATAAAACTGGGGAGCAGTAGAGAAGATGAGTAAAAACATAAGAATATACGAATCGGGTGAAACTTTTAAAGATCGCAAGCGGGAAGTAAAGAAACACAATCGCCGAATCTTTTTTTAAAGTATAATTGCAATGTGAAGCCCACCTGATATCTTGGTGTATAATAGCACCCAGCTATTACGGAGAACGTAGGGGGTGGGTGGGGACAGACTGGTTATTGACATGGAGTGCAGAGCAGTTTCTTTCAAGATTATGTAGGCGTTCTCCTTCGGCTAGTGAGAAGATGACATCCCTGCATTTCGGGTAGTTGATAATTTAGATTACGAGGGTGATAAGCCGGAGGCAAATAAATAGGTTTGAAGCTGTGAAAAACGGAAATCACCAGGGAATTTGGAACCCATGGTGACATCATCAGTACACTTGATAAGATCATCTTGGTTTGTGGGTAGATGTGGAATATAGAAACAGAATAGAATAGGGACTGTGTTGCTCCGTAGAGCACCCCTGAACTGACTGGTATCGGGTCAGAAATGTTTCCAAAAAACTCTGAGAATTGTATTCTACCAGTAAAATAATCTTAGAGTAAAGATATACTAGTAATGGATAAACCAGCACTATGGAGTAGTCACAAAAGCCTAACCCAATCGACGCAATAAACTGCATTACTGTAGTCGGGGAAGCACACACAAAATGCTGTGCCATGCCTGTCTGACTTCACTAAGTGCGCAAGGACATCTAAGGTAGAACGTTGTTCGCAATAAGCAAATTGTCTGTGATTCAACTGCCCAGTGTTAGGAATAATGTTATTAAGTATAAAATTTCAAAGAAGTGAGTAAAACGGAATCGCAGGCGGTTTGTCGAAATTTCCCAGTTTTCATTTTTGGGACTGGTGCAATTCGCGAGGGTCTGCAACAATCAGTATTTTTTCCCTCGAAGCAACGGTTAAAAAAACCGGAAACGGGCTCAACCAGATAATATGCACATTCCTTGAGGATGACAGGACATAATTCGTCTGGATCGGAAGCTTTTGATGTTTTGAGGCGCATCAGCTATGCTCGCACCTGATTATAATTGAAATGCAATCGTAAACCGTGTCCCAAAGGTGCAAAATCCTACTGGTTATACTTCACTGGTGGTCTCCATCCAGTACCCTACGGATCAGTCTTTAGCTGTCCGAAGACTCCGTTTAATGCTCTCTCATAAACTCGTCTGCTTTTTATGCTTATCCTGGTAGCATTGAGGTAGCAAACGAACCACATGTGTAAAAATACCACAAAAATACGTTAAGTTACAGTCAAACTCAAAGTTTTATTATGGGAATTACTGACAAGCTCATGTTTCTCTTGCCCCCATAGGATATTTACACAGCTGGATCGTTTCTCGGCGAAAAAATCACATAGAGTTTCAGGTAGGAGATAACATATAATATAGTGTTCAACGAATTCGCGTTTGTTTTTTTATTGGTGTTGGAATGTGAGGTGAACCAGGGTTTCATCGAGTCTCCGCTTAAAAGATTCAATAATTGGTGCACAAACGACTTGAGATGGAAAGGTGTTCCAAGTACTGCGTACTCTGACTGCAAAAGATTTGACACCTTGGAATCAGTAACTTGAAACGGTGTCCCTTAAGGTGTACATTGATCGATAACGGGAGCAGCGACCGACATGGATGGTTTGGGTTCTGCATTATTTGATATGTCAAAATCAAGTCTCCCCGAATTCGGCGGTACTGAGCAGAGTATAGTCCCTATTTTGTAATGTAATCTCTCCTCATAGGTGGGGTAATGCAATCCTTTGACCATCTTGGTGGCCATCTTTTGTGGGCGCTCAATCATCTTGCGATCGCGTTGCAACCATGGACTCCAAGTTTGGATGGCGTACTCTGTGTAGGGTCGAATGTACACTGATAGCAAACATGGGAACAGTGCTGATTCAAACCGACGAAAGACTGGCCGAACCAAGCCGACATTCTTCATAGCAGCGGAGGAAGCCTTAGCACAATTGATGAAGTCGCTTAAATCCTCTTGAACAACAATACCTAAGTCCTTTTCACTTGAACTGTGTGATAGCTGCTGATTTCCGAGGAAATACGGGACTCTTCTCATGTGGCATAGTGGTAGGACTTTGCATTTAGAAACATTGGATTCAATGTCATTCTCAGACTGCATTAAGTGATTCTTGAAGTGTTGAAGAGCCCTCGGGTTTTGTTACTGTATCCCAGGTTTGACTTCGTCTGCAAACAGTATTGTTTTTAGACCTAACACTTTTGGTGGATCATTTATGAATTCGAGGAACACAGGGGGACCGAATACGAACCCTTGTGGAAGACCGCCGGTGGCGTTGATAGACCCGGATAGAGAATTTGAAACACGAACTGATGTGGTCTGTTCTGATACCGACCATAGGTTGACTTCTTTATTTTTATAACAATGATCTGCTTAAGATTGTATGAATTGAAAAGTTTGAAATACAATGTTTTCGCACCATAAACTACACTTCCTTGCAGTAGTACGTAAGCTCCTTGAGAGTTCGGTAGTGTAAAGCAGTCGCCACTGTTCAGTGGTAGTGGGCGACGCCTTCCGATTCAGCCCATCTTGTTAGGCTTTCATGTTACAACCTTAGTTTTCAGATCATCGCTCTCGACAGCCAACCAGTACACACACATATATACACATGTATGTGGTCCAATCTCTTCGCAACCATTGTGTATGAAAAATAACGTTTTCTGATTCCGAACTTTTCCATTCCCTATCGTGTCATTTTAGCCCTGAGGGTCCCGAAGAAGGCCAAGCATTTTATGTGGGCGGTTCGGAAACCGGGGGTGGCGGACAGCAAGTACTCGGGCCACCTCGGAAAAATCCCAGCCAACCATTGCCTGATCCTAATTCTGCTCCCGACGAGTTTGTCCATCGACTGTTTCAGGCAGCCAAAGGTCAAGGTGCAGAGGTCTTGGACACAGAACGCTACAAGGAGCGATCCGATAAGAGAAAAATCCATGTTCCGTTCTCCGGCACTGGTTACAAGTAGGTTTGAGTAAATACGTATTGAATTCGCCGTATATGATATTTTACTCTGAACGGAAAATGTACGTTACGGAGAGAATTACATCCGCAGAATTCTTTTCACTCGTTTCAAAGACTTCCATCATTATATTTAAAGTGTCGTCTCTCATTAGAACGAGCCTTTTGTTGACCGATCCCGTGATTATATCCACAAGGAGATTCACTGAAGGCGTATATGAGTCATTTGTTATTTAATGGTAGAGTCTGTTAGCATATACCATGAGTCAACTGTGTTAGATGTTGGAACAGGGGGAATACAAATACTGCTAGATGTTCACATTTCTTTAATCGCTCCAGTCGTTAAGGCAATCTGGCATTTAAGTGGAAAAATGTTTTTATAACAGTGGTTCAACAGGCAGCCATCAGGGAAAGGGGAGGGAAATCAGTTTCAAAATCAGTCCCTCGGTAATTTGACTGATCGCGTCAGAAATATTTGTGCATACGAGGTCGGGTTACATAACTTGATTAACATCGCTTCGGTGGGAGCTAATAGCCTGCGATTCATGTAACGCAACAACGGTATGAACGACAAAGGTGGGCCAATTATGTGTCCAGTTATCATGGTATGTTTTGCGATTGATGACCATGGATTTCTCTTATCACATTTCCTTTTGGGTTTATGCTTCGACATTGACTGCCATACTCGGTTGGGGATGTGTCCGGACATCCTTTGTTACAGGCGTTAGTTCATTCTGCCGATGTAAGTGTCACTGCAACTGCGGGTGAACTGATGGAGGACATGTGGAGCAGAATTGGGCGGCTGGCTCTGTTTTCGGTTGTCCGTATGAATTCCCTGGGTGTACGGTATCAGTCGAAGCTGTGAAGCAGGAGCTGTTCCACACAACACCTTCTTGAAGAGATAACTTCTTGGTCGATCAAATCGTGCCCCTTCCTGGCTGATAGCATTACCACACACTAAGTGATGGGATATTGCACTAGGTGGAACTCCTTGAGGCCGATTACATATTAGTTTGTGAGTCCATTATCACGAAGCCTGTTTTCAGAATAAAGTTTTGGGTCTTGGTGATCGTCTGTTTACTCGTCTGATGCCATTCCACCCTGGTTTTCAGGCTCGGTGAGGATCCCAGCGCGCCTTCTGTGGTCGCACAGGGTCCAACAACATCGAAGAACACCGATACGACGGATGATGGTGAGCAGACTGATGAGCACAGCGTTGTGGTTAAAATGTGGCGGGACGGATTTAGTTTGGATGATGGCCCTCTTCGTGCTTACAACGACCCAGCTTCACGATCATTTTTGGAAGATATCCAAGCTGGCACAGTACCACAAGTGAGTATAAAATTGCTTTTTTTCTTGATATTTTTTCAAGTTTTTTTTATCAGCCAGGGAGAGTGGTTATCATAAGTGGCTAACTGTACCGACGTATTTTGAGTACAGGCTATACTTGGACAGGATTTAATTCGATAATCATTCTTGTGCATCTCAGTTAATGCTTACTACCGGAAACCTCATCATCATCCTCAGCCTAATACAGTGAAGCGAACTTCGCTGATCGCTGCTAAACTCACAGTACCTACAAAATAAGTGAGAGTGTGTAAGGAGGATAAGGATTGGGTCTATCAAGGGGATGGTTAAAGAAAGATAGCAGTTTGAATATTCCAAATGAAAGTAATTTTACAAGTTCATTCTTCCGCTCATTTGGTTATGATTGCGTGGCAGGTTGAAGTAGAGCTTTTCTGCCGACACTGTGGAAGCTTTCGGCGCTTGATTGCCGAACTTGGCTTCCGGTCATTTGGTGTTNCGTCTTTCTGCATTTGAGGATGTCTCGGTGAAAAAATGGTTATCACAGCGAATTCCGGTGAACAGGATTCGCTGGTTAGGACACATTGCACATGTATAGCAGTCGTCTCTCGCATGGGACTTTATTTGCATCTTGAGCAGTTGACTGCAGCTCTTTGATGAAACGCAAACTAAGTAAATCGGATTCAGAAGTTGGAATCGAATGCTGATTGCCTATTTACGGTACATCGCTGTCTAC